CACACAGCACCAATTGCCGATAGTCAAAATCACACAGAGAATCCTTGTTGGAGACCAGCAAAGCCACTTGTCTTTTCAGTGTTGGAACAGAATGCTGTTTCTTAAAAGTGAGGCCAGCAAACTGGCCAAATCCAGCTGGCTGTTTTTGTAAATAAAGTTTTGTTGGAACACAGCCATGCCTCTTTAGTTACATATCATTGGTGCTGCTTTCTCACCAAAATGGCAGAGTTGAATAGTTGCAACAGATTGTATGGCCCATGAGGTCCAGTGTTTTTTATCTTGCCCTTCAAGGAAAGTTTGCTGCCCTCTGCTTTGGAGCAAATGAAGGAATTAGTTTTATATTCAGGTACAGTACTATGTTGTAAAAGGAAAATCATTATCTTTAAACACCACAATCCAATCAGTGAGGTGAGATATTCACACCCCAGAATGCATGAAGGAACTGAGGAACCAGTCGTGTCATCTCTCCATCTGACTCTCACCTAGGATCATAAGCTCTCTGACTAAATCGGAGAGTGATTTCGCTAAAATGTGTCTCCTTCCTCCTTTCCCTGCCCTCTGTCTCTCTGTCCAAATGCACGCAACTGAATTCGCCTGAATTTACTCCATACTTCACTGTATGCTCCTCCTCCTCCTTTAATTGCGGTGGGCAGGTTGATGAGAAAAGAGCAGAGGTAGGCTTCATTATATGGATGAGGCACTTCTGCCAACGGAAAGCTACAACGATGTCTAGTGATTCAGTAGAAAAAAGTGGTGAGAGAATGAGTTGTCACTGTGACACACAGTTAAGCATGTTGAACCCCCATATAACTGTAACTCTCCATACTGGACTCACATTGGAACTGACTGTGCAGTCTCAAGAAGACATTGTCCTTATTGTCCATAAATTAGCATTGTTAATCAAAATTTGGGGATGAGAGTTCGTTTTAATTATGTTTAGTTATAACTGTGGCTTGATTTTATAGTTGTAAAGGGGCTGGATGCATGTGGCAGACTTTAAGGTGACCCCTAAGATTCTTGCCTCCTGCAGTTGACACTTTTGTCTCATTGTCTCCCCTGGAGTTGGATGTGGCCTGTGATTCAGCTTCTAACTCCCCTTGCCAGCTGACTCCCTCTGGGCCATTCTTCTTGGCTAGCTCTGAGGAAGAGGTCTCTGTGGCAGGGAGCTGAAGGTGGCCTCCTGCCTACATCCAGCAAGAAGCTGGGGGACCTTAGTCCAACAGCTTCGAGGAAATCAGTTCTTCTGCCCACACCCCAAGTGGGCAGCTTGAATGAAGACCCTTCCCTGGGGGAATTCCTGCTGTGCAGTACCCTCATTGCAGCCTTGCAGGGACCCACCTAAGCTATGCTTGGACTCCTGACCCACAGAAGCTAGGAGAGGATAAATGTGTGTTGGAAGTCATTCGGTTTGTGGACTTCGTTATACGGCAATACAAAACATTTAAGGATTTACACAAGTTGTTACCGGTACTTATTTCATGTTATTAAAATCCGAGCCAAGTTAGATCACGTTAGGATGGGAACATCTGAATCAGCCTTGGTGAGCTTCTAATCCACTGTTCCCTTTTTCTTCCTATCAGGCAAAGCTAAAAGTGGCTCCTGGGGCCCTTTTTATAGCACTGACAGGTTTCCTTGGTCATAGCGGAAGAGAGGGGTATCCCACATCATTTGGCCCAGTGTTCTTTTACAGAAGGACACGTGGAGGACAGGGGCTGGCCTCTTGGGCTTGTCTTCCCTGAAATCAGCTGCAGCTTCCAAGGAGGCAGCATCTTGAGACATTGTATAATCCATCCTTTATACAGCTGCTTATGGGCTCCCTACCCCTTGTCAATAATGAGTTCCCCATTGGGAGCCTGATTTCCTCGTGTGAGTTTCCAGCACCCTGGGGCCATATTTGTCCTAGGATTCTCGTCATGTCTTCCCCCTACCGCTAGCCACTGCTGCCTCTTAGCCTTTGCTTCTCTGGGCTGAGGAATTCCTGCATTTTTGATCCGTCCTGCTTCTGCAGGCCTGCTTTGTCTAGCTACTGCCCTTCTAAACCATATCCAGTTTCACTCATAGAAAGCAGGGGGAAATGGTCAAACCAAACCCTCCAGCCTCCCCTGTGCAGCCCTGGCTTCCGTTTCATTGTTGGTTCTCTGAAGAAAGGTGCTCTGAGGAGGGAGAGGGCTGCCTGTACCCCCGGCGCCGCCCCCTATCGCAGAGGCTGGCCCCCTGGTATGTTATTTGATTGGGTGTCCTTTTGCACCCCTGAAGGTCCTGCTAGTACTTGCAGTACCGACAGTCCCCGTGGGCAGGGGTGTGTGTCACGCCTTAGTCATCAGCACTTCAACCACTCTGAGGCAAACACTGGGCCTCAGAGCTCAGTATTGATGTGACTGCCTTCTCACTTCTGCCAAAAATAGATGGGGAAGAATACATTTCTGTTAAGTTCTTGAAGGGTTATATCTATATTAAGTTAGCGCTCCTGAAAACGACACACTGGGCTATATCGGTGGTTTAGATTCTCTAAGAAATATGTATTGATATAAAGTTATCAGACTGTTGATTTTTTTATAGAGCATAAATATTAACTCATTATTTGAAGAACATCATAGATCTTGTAAAAGCAAAGTTGAAGACCAGATTCACAGTTACTTTACATACTTCTTGAAATTCCTTCTGGAATGTTGTGCTAGGAAAAGTCCCTCTTCTGTTGAGTTTATTTGCTTTCTTTTAATGAACAAAATTAACCCATCTTATTTAGCTTTTTACCTTTGCCACTAGGAAACTTAGTGAATACAACTCAGTTGTAGTAAATCTTGAGTTCTGAGCTTCTGACTCTGTTTGCTTTTAAAATGTCTTATTCTGTGTGTTTAGTGTTGCCTAAATAAATACCTACTATTACGGGAGGGATTGCTTTGTAACTTTGCACGTTAGTAGCTCTGTGGTTTGTGTTGACCTCGATTCTAAGCAGAAACAGCTGTGTGTATTAGGTGAGTTGTTTTAACTAGTGCAGAGAAGAGTTTGTTGACCTGTGCTCTGGGTGAGAACTCTGATTTCTGCTTCTACTCGAAAGGGTCTAATCCCATGATGTAGTTTTTGGGAGAATTTAGTTTTGGCTCGGAATGAATCTTTGCGGGCTTGGTGCAGACCGAGACTCTTGTTAGCGCGGAGCTCTGCGGCAGCTGGCCGCTTGTTTGTCTTCTGAGCCTGTTTCATTTGCCCTCACTGGCCTGCTTGGGCAGAGGAGAGAGGAAGAAAAGCTGTTGGCAGATGTTTTTAGCAAGACCTTTAAGCGTAAGGGAGGAAGCTAATTTTAGTCCTGTTTTTAATATTATGGTAGTTTGGTTGCGTCTTTCCTCTTAGGGTAGAGCGTTTTAGCTTTTGTTTTTGCTTTTGCATTTCCTGTGTGTATGTCCTGAAGCAAAATGGACTGCTAAAAATGTCACTTGGTGTTTGTTATTTTGTGCCTAGAATAACATTCAAGACCTGTGAGCGCTGAAAGTCACTAAAATAGTTTTAGGAGAAAAGAATGTTATCTGTGCTACTCTTCTATATTTCCTTATAGAAATTTGCCAGTTGACTTTCTGTGCTTCTGTTAATGGGACATAGATAATCTCTTTCTTTCATCACAGCAATACAGTAACATTTTATTTACTAGCACATTGCATCACTCCTTGTATGCAGAGCTCTTTACTTTTAAAAGTACAGTAAGTTTTGGGAGAAGATCATGGCAAAAGAGGAAGGTTGCTGGAAATACAGTTGTGCTGCTAACTCAGTCAACCAGCCAGCAAGCTGTGTGCACATTCATTGTGCTGAGTGCTTAAACACAGAGCAGACATGAGTTTATTCCCCTGGTGTCCCCAGTTCCTAGCACATAGTAGAAACTTTGTAAATATGTGTTGGGTAGATGAAGTCAGCATTACAGGTAGGAGACGGTAAGGAAGGATGGTTTATAAAACAATCAAAAGGGACATCAGCTAGGCCAGTGGTCTTCCAACTTAGCGTGTTTTAGAATCACTGGAAGAGCTTGTTAAAACAGATTGCTGGGCCTACCCCCAGAGTGTCTGCTTCTGTAGGCATGGCATGGGGCCCAAGAATTTGCATTTCTAAGAAGTCTCTGGGTGAGGCTGCCGCCAATGCTGGTTCAGGACAACACTTTGAGAACCACTGACTAGGCTAATGCCTGTGGAAGAGAAGAGAGGCTTGGAGAAATGGTGTTTTGCCTAAGTGACAAAACCAATTAGTTGCTGAACCAACACAAAAGGCCAGGTCCTCTCACTTCCTAACTTGGGGACAGAGAAATGTATTCTGATGTCCCAATTGGCAGTCTGCTATGGTAGTGATCACATGCCCCGGTTTCTTTCTTGGGATTTAATCCCAGCCTGACAACCTTGGGACAGAACAAGAGGACAGGAGGTTTGTTCCAGGTGTGTGTTAGCGCACCAGCCACCCTTTGTGACTGGATGGCGTCTGCTGCCCATCAAAGGAAGTGGCTGGATTGGGAGCCAAGTTAAGTCTTCTCGTTGTTTGGCAATTGTGTCCCCAGATTTTCTTGCCCATCTTGGAGATCTTAGCATAGCCAGGATGCTTGGGGTTCAGCTGCCTTGAAGGGGAGTCAGTCCCTCACACAGGTGTTTTCCATGTTGCATGGTGGGCACTGAGATTGGGGTAAGGGGAGCACACTGAGGGACCCTTCTTTTCCTCACTGTCCTTGCCCCTTTCCTGAGGGTGCGCTGGGAAGAACCCCCAGCGGGTGCCCATACCTACCTCAGAAGATGCTCAGTTTGGACAGAAGAAGGTTCTTGCGGCTGCCTCCTGTCCATATTTTTCTTTTCTGTCCCTTCCATTGCACTGTTGCTGTCCACCTCCCCATTCTAAAAGACATGGCCGCTGTCTCCACTTAGGGAAGGCACTTTAGGGTCATGATTAAGACTGTGAGGCTAGCCTATAATTCCAGCATTTTGGGAGGCCGAGGTGGAAGGATCACTTGAGCCCAGGAGTTCGAGGCTGTACAGAGCAAGATAAAAAAAGACTGAGTTTGTTGTCAAACTGAGCAGTCCAAGTTCAGGCTGTTTCCCAGTCACACTGACTTTACACCTAGTTCTTTTCTCTGAGCTTTAGTTTTTTCATCTGCAAAATGGCAATTAAAATAATGTCTGCCTGTCGGGGCTGGCGTATAGTAAGTGCTCAGTAAATTACAGGCTATCTTTTGAGGAGCAAGAGATAGACTAGCTCCTGACTAACCCTTACCTTAAATTCCTCTTCTCTACCCTCACTTCCCAGGGGCTCTCCTGATACTGGGGCAGGATAGTGGTGCGTGCATACTTTGGGTTTTGCCTTGTGGCAATTTACTATAAGACAAGGTTGGGGGAGTTCATTTTTATCTAAACGTCAGGACCACCATACATTAGTTATTTGTCCCTTAGCGGAAGGTGGCTTGTGGGTGTTTGGCTTCTCAGCCTGTTGGGGACCATTGTTACATTTCTAAATTAATCCTTTCTCATGGCTGGTGAAAACCCATTGTGAACCCTGTGGAACCCTGGCAGATCCTAGCACCCGCAGGAAGCCTCCGGACTCTCTGTTCAGCTGACGCTGCTGGGCTGGGGCCTTCCAGACGTGCTTATCCCTCGGTCCACAGCTCACCCCCACCAGAAATACAGTGCAAATCCAGCCAAGTGCTGCAGATCTTACCAGCTTCCATTTAAGCCAGTTTCTTCCTGGCGGTAGCACAGTTGCCACCACCCTCTGTGGAAAGGGCTGTGACGCTTGCCTTCTCTGCACTCCCTCCCTCCCAGCTGCTTCTCTACAACCCCCCATGTCCCTGCACCTCCCAGGAGTCTGCTTCGGGGAACCCGACCAAGGTTTAAGCATTCACCTTGGGGAGGCCACCCCACCCCTCTCTCCAGACTTGGTTAAGGGTCTTTGGCCTCACTTGTGTTGCGGTGCTTCAGGTCTGCTTCCCCAGCGCCTCCACAGGTTTCTTGTTCTGTGAGGAGCTGAAGGACGGGACAGAGGCTTTTCCTCAGCAGGCAGCCAGCTCAGATTGGACTTTCCTTCTAGGAATCCCTCTTCAGACTGGGATGGTGGGAAGGCAGGAAGGCCATCTGAACTGGAGCAGGTGAGCTGTGTCAGGGTGGCGGTCACCAGACTGGACTCTGCCCCCAGTTCCCACCCCCACGTGCCCACCAGGCCCAAGCAGCCAGAGCTACAGCGCTGGCCAGTCAAAACGATGCAGGGGAACAGTTTTTTCCTGAGCCAAGTGCAACGACCTAGATCTCCTTGTATCTGAGGGAGAGAGACCACAGTGGTGGCTTCTCACACCTTGGGGAGCCCGTTCATAACATAGAGGTCTGAGCTGCTTTTCATGTCAGGTTGACTGCTTTGGGTAAGAGGCCAGAATTTTAAAGCGAGACAGTGCACTGCAAGCCGCCTATTGCAGCATTTCGCACTGGTCTTTCTGTAGCTGGTCTTGGTTCATTGCCATCAGAAATGAATGTTGAAAGTGGCAAGCCCATTTGAAGGAGCCCAGATTTTAACCAAGCTCAGGACACATAGTTCTGTGCTAACATTTTTGTTTTGATGAAAAATTAAAAAACATTGCTCTCAACCCCCACCACAAAGAACACGAAAATATTATTATAAAGAAACTAGATATTTCTCAATCCCTGCTCTGTGGTGGTGCTGCAATTTGTAAAGCAAGTTAGAACCAAAAATGCTTTAAAAGGTGACTTCAAACAATATGCATAACTTTCTGCCCCCATAATTCTGCTTTTTACAGATCCTTTTATAGATTCTGTCCAAGGATTGTCATGCATTTGCAAACACATCTACTAGCTCTCTGAGTTCCATATTTTTATTATCAAGGGACCCTTAGATCTGAGCACATGGGGACTGGCAGACACCAGCTGCAGAACACAACTGTCTTTTAGGAAACAGGCCGTGATGAGTACACGATGGGCCCTTCTGCCTGGTGGAAAATGAAGCGGTATGTTTTTCTTCGTGGTTACTTGGTGGCTCTTGGCAATTTCTGACTCAACACCACTGGGCTTTCTGCTGGCCTCTCCTTCCTTCTGTGAGGGAGGGGGCTTTTGCAGCCCCACACAGATGGAGCTGATAGGAATGCCCTGCATACTAACCATCTGGGGAGGACCTGTGCTTTGGGTCCCAGGGTCCTTAGCAAATTCCTTTCTCTTCCAATTAATTTACAATTGGTTTACCTGTTTAGAAAATTCAAGGTCCATCTTAAATGTAAAAGGTGGTTAGAATGTCCTGAAAGAACTTTAAAGATACTGCTTTCCACTGAGGACATGGTTCATCCACAGGGCGGTGTCAGCAGTGGAGTTGGGACCCCAACCTCTAGCTTTTGGGCCTGCTCCTAGCAGAGCCTGCCCCTTAGGCCAAGTGGCATGGTGCCTTTTCACCCAGTCCTGATTTGGGACATACTGATGTTTCAGCCCCTCCCTCTTAGAAATTCTGATTTGAAAATCACTGTATCTACTCTGTATTCCCATGAGAGAGACAAAAAGATTTTGTTCAGATTTGCTTTCTTCTGATTGTAAATGGAAACATTTGGGGTTTGTGTTTTTGGGGGGTGTGCTTTCTCGGACCAGACGCCAGGTCATTCTGACCCACCTCCCTCCTCTCCTGAGAATCACTGACTTAGAGCAGTTATTTGAGGACAGAAAACACTTTTTTTTTTTTTGAGGCGGAGTGTCACTCTGTCACCCAGGCTGGAGTGCAGTGGCGAGATCTTGGCTCGCTGCAACCTCTTCTCCCGTGTTCAAGCAATTCACCTGTCTCAACGTCCTGAGTAGCTGGGACTACAGGTGCACACCACCATGCCCAGCTAAGTTTTGTAGTTTTGTTTTTTGGGTTTTTTTTAAATAGAGATGGGATTTCCCCCTGTTGGCCAGGATGGTCTCGATTTCTTGACCTCGTGATCCACCTGCCTAGACCTCCCAAAGCGCTGGGGTTACAGGCATGAGCCACTGTGCCCAGCCAAAAAGCACATTTGTTCCCAGTACAGAGTAGGTGCTACACCCAGTCTACAGCCAAACATAAACAAGCAAGCCCTGAAGCAGAAGAAAGAGCAGGGGTGGGTGGTGGCTTTGGCCCCCTGGTTCTTATGCCTGTCACTCCACCCATGCAGTAGGGCTTCATGAGATACTGGCTGACTGGTGCTCTAAGCCTTATACCAAAAGAGCCTGATTCAGCTAAATTTCCTTGGTAGGGGTGACTGCTTAGTTGGAATTTGGTGGCTGGAACTGGTGATCACCCCTTTTCCCCCTATGTGGGTCGTTTCCGGGTTCAGCATTTACAGATTTGTTTCCCAACCAGGAGGGATTTATCCTGAGGAATGTTCTAATCTGAAATGAGATTAAAACTTCCCCTGCTGTCGAAGTCAAAGGGTCCCACCTGCCTGTCACTTCCCATGTGCCCTTGGGTCTGCCGGGCTTACCATCAGCCCCTCCCTGTCTTTGGCCCGAGATGTGGAAAATCTTAATAGTTCAACCTGTTCCCTCAGACCTTTATCTTCAGAAACTGCTTCTCACACTCTAGCGCTGCCGGGCCACCTGGGGGACTTGTTAAAGCCCGGTGTCCTGGGCCCCTTCCCAACCCCAATTTATCAGATTCATTAGGTTTGGGCCGGGCTAAAGAGCTGGCATCTGGACCCCTCCCACGTGATGCCGATGCTGCCATCCGATGCCCAGCCCTCTCAGCTGAACTAAGGATGAAGACACTATGTTGTCCTAAATTCGATTCAGTGAAATAGCAAACAGTGGAAAATAAAAATAGAATTTAAATCTTTAGATTTTTGATATATTTTGTGTATTTGGTTGTAATATAAAATACGTTTCTTACTGGGATCGAAAAGGTTATTAGCCTCTGCCTTAACTACTTCTCCTTCTCTGAAATGACCCACCTGTGCCTTTGCACCTTGCATGGTCCTTAGTTCCAGGCTCAGGAGGGGAGGCTAACCAGTGTCTTGGCAACTTTTGGCTAAGGGCTAGGTTTGCAGTGTTGACCACCATACATGAACCCTAATCTACAGCAGCACCTATTGGCCCAGTGAGGGGATTTCTTCACCCCACACTCCAGGGAGAAAGGTCTTCAGTGTTTCAAGTTGGTTGTGACTACAGTAAGTTTCATGAAACAATATTAGGCTTAATGCATGTCCTCTGAGATTTTCTGTTTCATGTTTTCATCTATGGCATTGATTTGGGGAACTGCTGAATGGGTTGTGCATTGTAAACGTCAGCAGTGGGAATAATCCACAAATCCACCCCCCAAGTGGCCAGAACCAGTTCCCACAACTCTCCAAGGCGCTGACCTCCCCCAGCTCACCTGCCCTACGTTTTTCACAGCCAGACCCTATGCCGTCTACCAGACTCGATTCTGGGGCGTCCACTCACGAACTTTTCCTGCATCTCTCACAAAGTGACCCCCGTGTGTCCCCAGCATTCGACTCACCCCACAGTGTGCCAGAGTCCTGGGTTTGTGGCCTGACTTCCTTGGCAGCTGTAGACCACCTGAATGCAGGGCCTGCATTCCTGTGCCCCCCGGAACCCCCATGGCAGCAAAGGCCTCATGTTGTCAGGCTGGTTGGAGGCGCCCAGCCACATTGCACCCCAGTCTTGCAGGCGGACCTAGAGCCTGGACTTGGTTTTTAATTTTGTTTCAAGGGGAAAGTGTGTTCTGACTTGGAAACAATTGACTTGGAAAAGACAGATCTCTGCTTTGCCTCTCCGCCGTGTGGCCAGTGCCTCCTCCCTGGCGGGCTGAGATGTAGGCCTTCAGACAGACGGCAGGAGGCTGCCTCCTGTGGGAGGATTTGGGCCTTTAAAATAGAACTTCCATTCCAGGAGACTTAAAGGATACAGCTTGCTGAGGGAGAGCAATGGAAAGTGAGATTCCCTCTTGAAAAACGAGCATGGTTTCCTGCTCTGAAGATTCTAGAATGAGGCAACTGAGTTTTTAAAGTTAGTTTGCCACTGATTTTTCCTAAGGGTACTCCCTGGATAGTATGGGGTTTAGAGAGTGTTAAATGAGAGAGGTAGTTTGGAGGGAGTTAGAGGAATGCTATTTGGCTAAGTGCAAGATCCAGGGAAGGGGGTGGTTGCCTTTTAAAAGCACTTGGTGGGGAGCCTCTTTAATCAGTATGGCGAGGCCATTTTGTAAATGATCACAGACTACTAAGGCATAAAGGTAGTGAGAACGGGAGGCCTTTCTGACTTAGGAAGATGCCCTTCCCCGCTTTCTAGCCAAATGTCGGCAGTTCCAGGCATCCCTGCAATATATGTTCTTCCCGAACCCATTATTTTTGAGGTTGTTTAAAAATAGTGTCTGGGTTCCACCCATAATCCCACCTCCCAAGTTGAGTGAGCCAGTGTGGCCTCTTCCTTGAGGCCAGGAAACTGTCCCGAGGTTTTACGCTGAGAGTATTTTTAGCCCAGGTGCTATCGCAGCCACAGCTGGAAGTCTTTGATGTGCGCCTGCTGTGAACGAGCCATCTTGGTCCTGGGCTTTTCCAGAAGGGTGTGATTCACTTTTACAAGCAGTGCTGGCCAGAAAGTCTTGTCCTCTGCTCTTGCAGTGACTTGCTCCCCTGGCGATCAAGGTTGTGAACACACTAAATAAACAGCTTATTTGTTAGGCTTTGGCTTCAAAAGGGGGAAGAGGAGCCTACCTCAAGATTGTGGCATCTGCGTGGCATCTCTGTCGGAAGCCAGGGTGGGGACAGGGTGGTGGTGATCCTAGCCAAGCCCAGCGTCCCATGCTGAGTAGGTGCTGACTTAAGTGGAACACTGACCCGAGGAAATAAGAAAATTCCCCCAGGGACAAGAGCAGACATGAGCTCTCCTTCCTCTGAACTTGGCTTCTGCTTTGTTTGAACCATCCTTAGGGTACTTATTCACCCCTCCCTCTGCTAAATTAGACCGTGTGGCTGGTGTATGAAGCAGAACTGATTCAAATCCAGGGGGTGTCACTTACTCCTCAGCCTCACTCTTCCTGTCTGTGGCATGAGGACAGTGGTACCTGTATTGGAGGGTCACTGGGAGGCTTCAGTGAGACGAGGCCTGTTCAGCGCCTGCCATGGTGCTGGGTGCTCACTGCACAAGAAGGGGTCCTAGTCATTGCTGTGTGGCCATTGTCATTGCTGCCAGCTCCACGTGAACAGGGCCTTATATTACTCAGCACCTAATACAACCCCCTGTAATATAGTAGAGGCCAATACCTTCGACCGGACATGAAGCGTATTGAATTTTTGGCTGTAAACCATTGAAATTCTGGTTTTGCCCAAATGAGCAGGACCTTTGATTTTAGTCCCAGAACCTCAAGGGCCCTCAGGAGCCTCCCTGGGGATTAGGCCAGTAGCTCCACAGTTAAGAGTTGATGGGTATCAGTAGCATTTCGGTGAGCTCTTCTATCCTGGCCCTCTGCACACTTGGGTGTCACGTCAGAGCTGACTCAGGAGGAGGAGAAAGGGTTGAGGGAGGCAAGTTGACGCTTTCTCAGCCAGTTTGGAGGAAGGAGCCTGGGCTGCCCTCGTTTTGGTGGTGGTGGTGGGGGGCTGGGTGGTAAACTGGGGCTCCTTCTGATCCTGACACCTTGCAAGTACTCAGCGTGGAAATGTTTATGGAGTGAAAGGGTGGATGAATGAGGATGCCGCACAGTGCCTGCCCTGCACTTTCTGGTGCAGCCTGCTTCCCTAAAGTGATAGGGAGGTAAGGGACTTTTCAGGTGACTCCTGTCCCTTCACTGTCTTCTTTCTCTGCCCATGAGCTCCTGCTGCAGTGTCCCAGGCTGCTGGGGATATGGCCGCCAGCTCCTTTCCCTGTTGTCTGGGAGATAAATACATGAATATGTGCTCACTGACAAGTGAAAATGTTGTTTTTCCTCTGGAGGCCCAGAGGATGGCCTGATGAACTGTGAGTTCTTAGAGTCTCTGAGCAGGGCTAGCGCAGCAGAGGTGGGCTGGTGGCTGTCTGCTGCTGCCTCCTGACCGCCGTCCCACAGGGCTCCATCACTGTGGCCCAGACCCAGCCAGATAGGCCTTCCCACCCCCGGACTGGCTGCTTTGCTGGTGGCGCTGCACGGGAGAGCAGGAGGCTGTGTCCCCAGTGGAGCACTGTTGGAGTGCTGAGATGGCGTGCTGCCTCCACCTGTCCCTCCCAGGCAGGCAGCCATCCTAACACGCAGGTTCCTCTGAGCCAGGAGGCTGCCCCAAACAACTCCATCTAAAAGATCAAGACCAGGGGTGGGCTCTGCCTCCAGGAGGTGAGATGTGCCCTGGCCTCTGCTCTGTGGTTTACTCAGAGCAAACTTATTTTACCATCACTCTTTTTTTCGTTTCGTCTCTGGAAGTAAAGCTGAGAGATGACTAACTCACATCTCAGGAAGCCTGTGAAGGCTGTGGTTTTCATCTCTAGGTCAGCACCTAATGGTGATGGAAAAGAAATGCTTCCTTGGGAGTAGGCCACCGCGGACACAGGCTGCCTTGAGTGGTGCTGGACACCTGCTGGGGCCACAGTCACCTCATCTGTGAAAATGGGAGGGAAGAGAAGGTTTAAACTTAACCCTGTGAGCGTGGCCAAGGTCCGTGACTCCCCTGTGACTCGGTCTCCTCATCTGTCGAGTGGTATGAGAATACCTCCCTCTGGTGTTAGCATGAGGACCGGGCATATGCCTAGAGCTCCCCACATGTTAAAAGCCCTACTCCTGGCTTAAATTGTAAGTTTTTAAAAGTCTAA